CTTCCTCTGTTGGGCCGACGACTGAGAACAGAACGATTGACGGACAGGATGAAGAGATAAGATCACGATTGCACGAGGCGGTTAAGGGTGACTTGGGGCGTGCGGGCGTGCTGGCGTAGAGAGAGCGACGAAGAAGTAGCGAAAGCCCGAGGAGACAATATGGTGAGGGGGGGGGGGGGGGCGAGGATACCCGTATGGTGTTTTCATGCGCGTGAAAATTCTACCCATGAAGCACGCAAAAACGGCAGCATACCCGCTGGAGCTGATACAGAGGGTTGTTTGGTCCTTCAATAGGTGTGTTCTGAAGGGAAGAGCTATACTAGATCTCACGAAGGATTGTAGCACGGTTCACCAGTATTGCAACAGAGATAGACTGTGAGTCTAACTTCCTTTGCGAAAATATTCTGGAAAACAATTCTTCGAGACTCTACATAGAGTGAGTGCAGCCTCCCACACGATTTTCTGGGGAATCGGAGAAGTATCAAGAGTGCTCCGCGCGTCCATTGCAACACCTCCGCCTCTCTCTGGGACACTTTGGCCTGCTGAGTGTCCAGATACCAGTACGTGAGCACGGTTTCATCCCGAACTGCTTTGCGCGGAATGGGTGTCAACACCGGCCGGTGCGCGCTTTTGTCATACCCCCTGCTCGGATTTTCTCACGTAGCTTCAACTTCGTTACGTCGAGGCTTAACACACTGAGCCTATCGGCAAGCACCGTCGGCTCGAACGCGTGTCGAGAAACGTTCATCCGCTAGCACCCAAAAGGCAACCCGCCCTCGGACCACATCTGTAACGGCACACCTTTCCGGCAGCAACAGCAGCACCTCGTTAGTCTTCTAACCTAGGTAAACGGTACATGGACCGTGTGACAAACGCTTGCAAGATTTGTCTTGGGGGGAGATCCTCTGCGTTTCACTTTGGAAATTTCGAAGTGTGAACACTATTTTTTATTGTTGGCCTGTGACCACGGAAAGAGGTCGGCGTCAGGTGAACCGTTACGGATGCTTCAAGGCATGCTGGGCAGAGACCGGAACGATTTTCTACTGCCAAGACGACGACGACGACAACAACAACAACAACAACAACAATTTTTGCGCACCACATCCCCTTCGACTGTGGTATTTTTTCGAATGGGTACGAAAGTCGTTCTTGGTTAGCATGAAAATGTATTTTTTTTAAACCATGTGTTCACCTCCACCCCGGTGTCCATTTCCCGTGAAGAATGAAAGGATGCTGTAGTTCCCCGGCGATACCGCTTGCTGCCGACCCCCATCCCTCTTGCTTCTTCTCGGCTCGCATGATTTCCAGCCCGCCCTTCCCAACGGCAGCACGGCCGGCGCTACCGCGGCCATCGCGAACAAAGTCGCCACCACCGGCGGCGGGAGCGACAGCCGGAAGCTCGGCAACGGTTGGGATGCCGGTGAGGGTGGCGCCGTGGAGGAATCGCTGCTGGGCGCAAGCGCCGGCCACTTTGTCCACGATGGCATCCGTCCCTCCTTCTCCTTCGCTGACGTGAAGTGGTTTGGCGCCCGCACCGGCTGAGGCCTCCCGCCTAGCGGCCGCAATCTCTTCCTCTAAGGCGCCCACCCGCTGCTGGCTCGTGAGGAACAGCCTGAGGTGCGACTCCAGGGTGGACCGAGACAGAGCGACGAGGTCGGTAGTGTCTTCTCCCCCAGCCCCTCCGCCTGCTCTGATTCTGATCATTTCGCCCTTCGATGCAGCGGCCGCGGCCGCGGCGGCGGCGGCCTGCCCTTTGTCGGCGCCATCGCCTAAGTCGCGGGATTGCTGCGTCTATTAGATATATTGGGGGTACTCGTAGCATAGTATGACGGTTGAGATGTTCGGTACGTACGTACGAAAGTAACAGTGATGAGATGCGGAGGGATAGGAACTTTCTACATATATTCCTTGGTTGCGAGAGGTATTTGGTGGAGATTCAGAGAGATTCGTTGAGTGACAAAGAGTGAAGGCGTGCCCAGATACCGTGAAGGTTTGACGAGCACTGGCACGCCCCCGATGAATACAATACTTTCCAATACTTTCCAATCCTTTTCGTTACGTTTTCTACATGTTTCTACCCTTCCACGCCCCGCCATGAGCCACCCGCTTTGAGCTCCAAGCACAAAGAACCGAGCCACCCGAATTATCGATCACGCTAGCGTATGACACGTCGTCTACGAGATTCGCGGTAGAGCTTGGTTTAGGAGCATCGCTTTGCGGCGATCAAGAGCAGGGTCACGATGGCCACCAGGCGCGAAGATGAATCCCGCCCAGCAGCAGAAGCCCGCCAAGCAGCGGAGGACGCCAGGATCGAAGAACTGGTCAACGAGAGAGTAGCAGCTCGGATGGAGCAGCTGATGGAGGAGAAACTGGCCAAGAAGATGGCCGAGATGGAGGTGCGGCATCGAGCCGAGCAGCAGCGGGGAGGAAATGAGGAACAAGAGGCAGCACACCAGCAAGATTCTGGGCGCCCAACACCCAACCCCTCCGCAGACGAGCTGGCCGACGCGATTGCGACTGCCATGGCCGGTCGCCTCCAAACCTCAGGGGATATCGGTGCAGTGTCTCACCCCGCTACCCTCCGTATGACTGAGAGTAGACGAATTGAGCTTTGAGAATTTTCTGCCCGCCAAGCAGCGGAAGCCCGCCAAGTAGCGGAGGATATTGTTTTTGTTGTCTTGAGATTTTTCTGCCCGCCAAGCAGCGGAAGCCCGCCAAGTAGCGGAGGATATTGTTTTTGTTGTTTTGAGATTTTTCTGCCCGCCAAGCAGCGGAAGCCCGCCAAGTAGCGGAGGATATTGTTTTTGTTGTTTTGAGATTTTTCTGCCCGCCAAGCAGCGGAAGCCCGCCAAGTAGCGGAGGATATTGGTTTTTGTTTGTTTTGAGAATTTTCTGCCCGCCAAGCAGCGGAAGCCCGCCAAGTAGCGGAGGATATTGGTTTTTGTTTGTTTTGAGAATTTTCTGCCCGCCCAGCAGCGGAAGCCCGCCAAGTAGCGGAGGACACCAGGCGCGAAGATATTGGTTTTTGTTTGTTTGGAGAATTTTCTTGCTTGTTTTGGAGAGATGGTAAAGAGGAATTTGGTTTAATGGTTTGTTTTGTTTTGAAGTAAGCAGGACTGCTGACAAGGCGTGCCTTCGTGGTACGGTCGACTAGGGGTCAATTTGGTTTTTCTCGGAGCATGACGATGCATACGAGTAGGGGGGCTATTAGATATATTGGGGGTACTCGTAGCATAGTATGACGGTTGAGATGTTCGGTACGTACGTACGAAAGTAACAGTGATGAGATGCGGAGGGATAGGAACTTTCTACATATATTCCTTGGTTGCGAGAGGTATTTGGTGGAGATTCAGAGAGATTCGTTGAGTGACAAAGAGTGAAGGCGTGCCCAGATACCGTGAAGGTTTGACGAGCACTGGCACGCCCCCGATGAATACAATACTTTCCAATACTTTCCAATCCTTTTCGTTACGTTTTCTACATGTTTCTACCCTTCCACGCCCCGCCATGAGCCACCCGCTTTGAGCTCCAAGCACAAAGAACCGAGCCACCCGAATTATCGATCAGCGTCTCGGTGGGGGCATCGACACCGTCAGGGGGCGACCTCCGCTCGATCTCCCTGTCCTTCTCCTCGATGACGTTCTCGAGAATGTTTTGCTTGCGCTGGGCCTCTTTCAGCAGCCCCTCGGCCTGGAGAACCTTGTCGTTCTGCGCAGCGGCAACCTTGCTGAAGGTCTGCTGGATTTCTTCCAAAATTTCCAGCTTGATGGCTTGGATTCGTCCGTCTTTGTTTGCCCGACCGCTAGTTTCTGTCGAGTGTTCCTCAAAGGGGTTGGGGGAGGTCTCACCAGTGCCGTCGTTGCCGGTGTGCTGCGGACGGTTGATCATCACGTTCAACATCTGGCTCATCTTGAAGACCACCGACTGCTGCAGGCGTTCGATGCATTGCTTCTGGTCGTCCGGGGCTTCAGGCTTGTGCGTCTTGACAACGAACCTCCTCGTGAACGGCGGTTCCATCTGCTGCTGCAAAGGTTGCTCTTGTTGCTGTTGATGCTGTCGCCATTGCTGTTTTTGCTGCTGCTGCCGCTGCCGCTGCTGCTGCTTGTGTTTCTGCTTCTGCTGTATAACGTCGATCACTCCGTCGGTCGATGCGCCGCCGCCCCGGTTCCACCCGTCTCCTTGTTCCGAGGGTGGGGTAGATGCAGGAGAGATCGTTCCTCCTCCGAATGGCGGAGCACTAACGGTGTTCTCGCTGCCCGAACGGTTCAAGCCCAAGAGCTGCGATCGCGGGTTCTGTTGCCAAAGCGGCTGCCTCGTTGGCTGCTGCCCTGCCGTACGTTGATGCTGGTCCGCGCGGCTCATGATAATCTACGCACAACGGCGGTTGATCCCTCCGCGGGTCTAATTTGTTTGTGCGCCCGCCGAACCCACCCGTGGAAGTGAAAGCACGCGCTCGTTATAACCGATCCCCAGATGAAGCTGTATCCTTGATGCCCCCCGGGACCTGGAAGAAGCCAGGTGCCCGCCTGACGTCTGGCCAGGGTTTGCCTTGCACCTCCTGTGCAGGGCAAGGGATCCGGCTCAAAAAACTGTCGGGGGCGCCGGGAAGATACCCAACCGGGGGGGGGGGACCACGGGAGTTCCGCAAGGAGTTACATTAGATATTTCTGAAACCGTTCTGGAAAGAAATGACGAAATGACGAACGATGAAACGACCCTGCTGCCCTGCTGTGGTGCTGTGGTCTGTGGCCTTGTGGCGTTGCGCGGTACTGTCTGAGCGCGCGCACGAAGCCGTCCTCTACAACCGACGCCCACGAGCAGAGGAGGCTGGATAGAGGTCAGAAATAATTTCAATGTAACGAGATGACAACTACAGCAGCACCAACCAGTACGTCAGTCAGCTGTCCTCAGTGATCACACGACATGATCATCGTCGATGCTTTCGAAATATAACAGCCACCGCTCGCCAGTGTGGCACGAGATGACATGCGTCTCTCGCACCATTCAATGGATATTCCCGCCATGTTTGTAGCTTCACATCGCACGCGGGTTATTGTGTAAATTGACGGCAAGTTGGTGGTATTTCATTGCTTGTTGGGCGCCCGAGCAACCACAGACACGATGCATGGCGGCGGCGGAGTTTGGCAGGCCAAATTGTCGGTTTCTTGGTATACACAACAACGCAGCATTGTAATACACGGGGACTACGGAACGTTGACTATTGTTGTTGTTGCCTTTCAATAAAAACTCTTCCGGTCTCTCTACCCACAGTACCTTCACCTGTCCGTACTGATCGAACACTTGACCGAACGAAGTATCGCTCACGAATAAGGGGCATGCAACAAGATCAGTCTCTAGACGAAAACTGCACGTAGCTACAGTACACTCACACACTCTTCCAGCCCCTCGTTTATATTGGTGTTGATGGACTCCTTCATACAGCAGTTATTAGGCCAAAACGGTAATACTGTACATAGGGAGTAGCGCAAGATCGGAGCCGCAAATTGCAAGACAAACCGATCGTGCGACGGGCTACTGTAAGCAATAGTTGGTGCCCCCCTGCTCCACGTATGGTAATAGGATGGGACGGCGTGCACAGACGACTAACGGAATGTTGAAGACAGCAACTAAAGTACTCGACGCGGGCCCATGTCGTTCATGAAAGAGAGAGCCTCCGAAGAACGCCTTCGGCAAAATAAAACACCAATAACGCAACAGGAAGTAAGCAAGGCAGGACGTTGCCCCTCTCCTCCTCGTAGTTAGTTGTCCATCCCGCACGGTGCCCAAGAATGCAAAAAAAAAGAAAAAATACAACTGCAAGACTATAGTCTAAACAGAAAGACAAGATATACGTCAACAAAAGCAATTAAGTCAGGCCAGACACGCTCATCGCCCGTCGCCCCCCTGTTCCTCTGCCCTGCAGCGACACTATGGCAAACGCATCGAATTTCGTTCTGCAATCATCCCACCCGAGCTTACGTATCACCCACGGTATTGCCATTTCTCGACTGAGGAGCTACATACAACCCGGGGCCACACACAATATTTCTTTTTCGGTGCATACCTCCAATTCTATCACAAGAACGGTTCGCAACCCTGCTTACATCGCTAACAGCAGTGAAGGCCCACCTTTTCCCCAGTTGGTTGGGTGCTTTGGGCCACACGGCACTCGTGCTACAGGGCACTGATCGCAAGCAACTACTGTTCCCATCTCATCATGATATCCTGGCCCGCCCGCCGCAAGAAACTAACAGCCCCGCGACCCGTTCCAACATGGTCGCCCTAGCCTCCTGCACAGAATGGCAAAAAACAACAATAAAACATTCACTCAGACCTACACAATGTTCCGCCTCTACCTGCACCGCCTTCCGAGTTCCTCTGTTGAGTAGCTTCACAGGTGGACGTCCACCCTCCTTCCCCAAAATGTCGGATGCCCTCGCCCCCTTGTGGAGACCTTGCAAGGTCGAACACGTTGGAAAACAACCAAGGCCTCGAAAATACCTCGATTTCTCCCCTTTCGAGGCCTTGGTTGTCCTCTCCAAGGTGTTCGACCTTGTCAAGGTCTCCACAAGGGGGCGAAGGAATCCGACATTTTTGGGGAAGGGGAGTCGATCTCCACCTGTGTTTGTGCGTCGGTGCCTTGGCGCGCGGGGTCCCGTGATTGGGAAATAAATGGGCCAGTGGCGTGGTAGCCGCCAACGGTACAATTCTGGAACTATCCGACGGCGTAGTAGCCTTTTACTTTGTTGTGGAGCGTGGTAGCTCAGGTATGGTATCTCTGGATGCGGCGTGGAAACCTGATGGAGTGATAGCCGTGGTGTAAAGGTATATGCAAGGACTGGGAAGTCCAGAAGGCGTGGTAGCCGAGTGGCGTGATAGCCGGGATTGGCGCGGAAGCCGATTGGCGTGATTGCCTTGGTAGCGTGAAAGCCGGGGAAAATGACTTGATTATAACACAGGAAGAAGGAAAAAGAAGAAGTGGGTGGGAACCCACAAAACACAAACACCAATATCCGTTGTAGACTCACACATACCCCCACCCTCAATCCTGTAATATGCGGCAAAGTTGGTACCGCCAATTCTAATCCATAGCAACTGCTGAGCCCCAAACTCCCCGCTCCATCTGCTCGGAAATATCTTGCTTGCAATAATCTGTCGATGCTGTGAGTGCGTCCAACATCCTCCTCCTCACATGCATGGTCTAAACCACGACATACAACGTCCAAGTGTGAATTACTATCAACCGTAATGTGCCAGAGTGTAACTTGCTATCAACCTACGCGGGAATAATACTTCGCCGGTGTGCCAACACACAACACGCACCCCCTTTGTCTGGCCTCTCGTCATGGGGGCGCCCTTCTTGCTTTACCGTTGTTCTGGCGAGAAAACATTTCCCGCAACCTGGTAAAAACAAAATGTCTATTCTTCGTCGAAAACCTCATACGCTTGCGTCGTTGACCTGGCCGGTTGGATTCATTCCTCCTGCATACTAAGATGGCTATCCTTTGCTCATCTGGGAGCAATGAATAATAATGCGGGTTACCACCCCCAACCTAACGAGGGTGCGGGTGTTGTCTTCCTCTCGAATCTAACAACGTCCGGACCGCCAGATAGACTCACGCACATACATATCCCGGGATGTCTTCGTGCTCCATACAAGTAAGTACCCTTGACCACTCTTCTCGAGGTTTCTGCGTACCGAATAACACCCCGCGAGAACGACTGCTCTCTCCCCCTCTCCCTCTCCTTCTCTCTCTGTCTCCCTCTCGCCCCCTCTCCGTTTCCCTCTGTCTCCCTTGCTCTCGGTCTCCCTCTCTCTGTCTCTCTCTCGCTCTGTTTCGTGCAACGTACTAGACAATAAGCAAAACTAAAATAACACACGTAGTAGGTAGTAAATGTTGTTGTTGCTTCAACTTCTAATTCTCCCCCATATTCTACAACATAAAAATGTCTTGTTTCACGGTGACCCGTTCTCGAATCCATCCTCCGCTACATACGCAAAATATTCTACGCGCGCAGTCCGGGCCACCAGCAAATTTTTACTCAACCTCGTTAACAGGCAACATCACGGCGTTGCTGATGGTCTGTATGCCAAGGTCAAGACATCACAAACTGTTTACTGCTACAAAGCTCCCCGGAGGAACGGGGAATCATACGCTCTACTGCACTCCTCCGGAATATAACACAAGACAACCCATGACCGTTTTTTGCGATTGTCACAGGCAAGCAACAAAACAATGTATCGTTGCGAAACACCGACCAAAATCGCAAGACACACGGCAATCGATCACCGCCCCAACAAGCAGGACTGACGTCTTTATAGATAATAGTCGGCCGGTCATTGCGTAGTCAATGCTGTCAAAAGACTACGGGGAGCACGGCGCACACACTCAAGCCACAGCTACGAGAGGAGACATACAAACCAGTTGCAATGATGAACATCGATACGCGCACGCTATAGGCACACCAGCATAGGGCACCAAAACTGCGGCAAGAAACACCTTCTAATAGGCAAGGCCTGTGTTTTTACCTTGGGAGGCATGTCTCCTTCACTCCCAATAATGTTGGTATCTTTCTAATTTCCTGTACGGATCCAGCCAACTTCCTTGCCAAAGGTTCTACTGACTTCTCGCAAGTGAGGTGAATCCTGTGTGGTGCACTGCACGCGCATGCGCGGGTACACAATACAAGCGCGTATAGAGTACCCGAAAAATGCAGACTTGAAGGACTTCATGCTTGTCCACCCGTGGGATAAGCCAAATAGTCACACACAAGACAAGGTAGAGAATCGACAAATACACTATGTAGCTTTATGTCCAACAGGAGCACTCCGAATACAGGAAAGGATGACAAAAGCAACCTTACAAGAACAATATGTGTTGTAGCCATGCCAGGAACTTCGTGGAAAGGGTACATCAAGCAGACGAAAAATCACGTTTAACGAGTCCGTCCAAAATAACAGAGAAGGAACAAGGCTTTGGGGTTGTATTTCAATATCAGGATAGTCTGAAACAACACAAATACGCATCTAAATAGATAAAGTGGCAGAAACGCCATGGCAAAACCAAACAATACAAATTACTTAAGAAATACCAACTCTCTCGGAACCAACCGCTAGAACACGCGCACAACTCTTCGTTTTCGACGTATAGTTTCCGATGTTTCTCTTTCGTTGTTGAGCCCCATCTTGAGTGGGCAATCATTCATGGTGTGAATCCATACACTCCTTGAAACGCCAATGGCTACGGCACATGCAAAGGGGATAGCGAAGTGTTTCCGACGAGAGCACATCGAAGGAACAATACAAGGATGCCCCCGACTGCTCTTTCTAAAGAGCACTGTTGGCTGCGAAACGCTTGTCACCATCTTCAACCTCACGCCTACAGGGCCATTGGCAGTCTGCAGCGTCTATGTACCTGCCAGGCCAAGGTCTCATCAGATTAACGCTCTAGAATAAGCCGATTCTTACTCCCAAGGGGGAGGGTGAGGGGGAGGAGTACAACCATACGTATACCGTATACCCACGGAAGATGACCAGCAAATGACAAACAATAACAAACCAAGACGTTAGCTTCATTCAAAAGTTACGCCATATAGGCAGGCGATGCCTCGGGGGGTAAAATTTCAGTCACAGGGAATGATGGATTCGCAAAGAACACACAAGAAAGACGGATCTGCAACGAACGCCGAAATCCAGATCATCGTACCCATCCCCGCTTGCCACCGGTTCTTCTGGCGTGGAAATCAAAGTGTCAACGTCAAGAGCGGGCGCGAGCGGAACCTGGCAGCGCAGACAGACACACGATGCCCTCCTTCCTCTCCCCAGGGAAACACACCCCACGGTCGAACTCCCGGAAAAATGCGCCCCCCCTTCCCTCCGCCTGCTCCTTTTAGCTACGTAGAGTCACCGACGTCAACATAACCCTTGGCTGCACTCGAGGTGTCCAACGAAGGCGCAGCAGTCGTCCGCGAAGGATCCGTTTTGACACCCCTCTGGGGCAAGGGTGTCGCTCCCTGCAGGTCAGTCACAGTGCTCCCACCGCCGCTGCCAACATCGCCGCCGCCACCTCAGCCGTCGCAAGATCTACGAAGGGGATGGAAGGCTGTGGGACCCTGCCTTGCGGCGTTATCCCCGACTATCGGTATCACTCGACGCTTCGTTTGCGGCGTTGGTTAGCGCCAGCAGGTCCGCTTCGCTCAGCTCGCCGCCGACAGAGGGGGGCCTGAGAGTCGACGATGTTTTTTTCGAGGGCCAAAACACACGTGTGCCGGAGAGGGGTGGGTGAGGAATCAGCGCCGTATCTGTGGCGTTGTTGTTGCGAATGTGTTCAGAAAGAACAACACGAGCGAAATTAGCAATTCTACCTACACAGTGAACGATCCCAGCAGCAGTAGCAACAAAGACGAAGGTAACGGCAACAGCAGCACCGCACATCAACAACAACCAAATAACGAGAACAATCACGTACTACTGTAGGTGGCGGATGGAGGGATTTTCTCAACCATCAGTCGTGCCGCCATTCACGAAGAGACTAACCGCCATCGCTGCTACTTATGCTAAAGGAGGTCAAGTCGCTGCCCGACAGAATGGACAAGCTTTCTCGCTAGAGGCGAGGCGACGGGGGGTCAACACATGCTTTGTTTTCATCGGTGTGGAGGAGAACCCTCAGGATCGATAACATATCGTAACCTTCGCGGTATGTGGCGTAGGAGGGAGCAGAGGGGCAAGTGCTCGATTCTCTCTGGCACGGTCCGATAGCGAGTCTTGCGGCTCCACCCTCGGCGACTTATAACTCCCACACGATACACTCAAGAGTCTGCACACAAGAATCACCGAAAGCCAACGAGGAACATTACTGTTGTGTTCTGCGACTTCTACGAGAGGGCCAAACACGAGACGCGTGTGACACAACGTGCAAGTGGCATGTTTGCGATTGGGGTAGCACGACGAGCGAATGACAGTTTCATGTGTCCCGCCGGGAAATAAGAAACAAGGAGGACATGCGTTGCCCCGTACCACGGGGCTTTCATCAAGCGTTTTGCTTCATGACGAGGCTGCATAGAAGACGCGATCATCCGCCATGAGGAGAGACAAACAACGCCATGATTTTTGAAAATGGGCTAGCTGTGTTGGTCTGGAATAACTACACTACGCACCACCATCTTCGTGTCCAACTAGAAGACAGCGGACTCCTTCCACTTTTCCCACCCTCTCTCCATCTCTCTCTCTCTCTCTCCCTCTCACCAGTTCTCGAACGGATCGGCTTCGCTGAGGGCGAGACGGGGGGGATTTACGCCACCGAACCCACCGCCGGACATGCCGTCGCCTTCCGAGAGGGGCATCATGAAGTGTTGATGATGATGTTGATGATATTGTTGCTGTTGCTGCTGTTGCTGTTGTTGTTGTTGTTGTTGTTGTTGTTGTTGTTGTTGTTGTTGTTGTTGTTGTTGCCGCTGTCGATGCAGTCGTTCCGGTTGGAGCTGCTGCAGCTGTTGCAGGTGGCCCGGAAAAACGGTAGCGCGCGGATCCCCCAAAGGCGACGCCCAGCTGGCATGATGGCCGCCGAGAGCCGCGTTCGGGCCAAGAAGAGGAGGACGGGCTCCACTACCAGCTACTGGCGGCCCCCCACCAACAAACCCACCAGTGGAGCTCCCATTGCCGCCGACACCCCAGCCACTGCTCGAATAGCTGCTGTTGCAGCTGCTGCTGCCAATCCCGTTGCTTGGCGCTCGGCCGTCGAAGCGAGGCACCGGCGCCGGCATCGAGCCCCGTTGGAGGTGCGTGGGCGGGGGGAGGTACGACCATGCTGCTCCAGCCGCGCCTACAGCTGCCGCCAAAGCGGCTGCGCCACTGGAGGGAAGAGCACGTTCGCCGACGGCCTGATCGAAGTTGCCGTCGTCGTCGTCGCCATCACCGCCATCATCGTCGCCATCGCAGCGGCCGTCCTCTCCAAAATCGGAACCTTCGTACGGCTGCAGGAGGAGGAGGGTGGGGAGGGGCGCGGGGGGGTTACTCGTGTAAACGCATGCCGTATTCGTTACACCACTGACCTTGCATTCCTACCAAACCGGGACAGAGCACGCCGGGCTTTCACCGGCACAAAGCACCAAGAGCCGTAAGGTGTTCGGCGAGATGCGCTGCATCCTGCTAGGTAAGGGTGTTCGGCATCTTGTGCTTACTTCCTGGCGTACGGGGGAGGGGGGTAAAGGCGGGTAGAAGACGGATGCCGTAAGACACTCCGCACTACAAGGACAGCGGTTACATGCCGCCATAACGTGGTGCATAGAAAAAAGAATCCAAGCAAGTGCTTAGATGTGTTCGTAAGTACTGCTTGACTTACCTCAAGCTACACATTCATTCGTACTTCGCCGACCTGAGTGTAACAACGTTCGTGTGAAGCTGATAGAAGCTGTCACTCCCGTGCCGATAATAATCATTTTACGTGAACTAGAGACGGGCGACTTATGTTCGACATCCTTCCCCAGCGTCCGTTTACGGTCTGAATGTTGAAGTAGCGCATGCCTGCATGGTATCATTTGTTAGATTCTATTAAGCATTCCCTGGTGACACTATGTACCTTGATGATGCTGACTACAGTGCACTCCTTGGTTCTAACATGTCAACCATTGTCATGGTGATTGATTGAATTCTTGTCGTCCATGGGGGCATCTTCACACAACGTAAATTCCAAGATGATAACCGTAGTCTCCGTTAGGTGAAAAACGCTCAGTATGCAATATCATTGCTGTACCGCGGAACACGAACAAACAGTAGGGCGGCAAAGAGCTGCTTCAGGGTGTTAAGCATCCTCACAACGTTTGGACAACATGACGGTGGCAGCTTGTCGGAGTGGCGATTCACAACGGCGTGTGGTGTGCTTGCTGTCACATACCACATACCTATAGTACACCAAGGTTTCTTCGGAAGCCCGTATGTCATGCTTAACGGATACCTCCAGCTATCGCATCGTACTCTCCGACCAATCTTAATTTACGTACATGCGTTTCTGTTTGTTTGCGGTTTCAGGCACGGCGAGACGAACGCATGATGATTGATCGCCTCTCTCTCCGCTGACGGCAGACGACGCACGAAAGGATGATAGCCTGTCTGCGATGATGTGGGCATCATTCCGTGAGTAATCGTAGTAGTACCGGGAATAATTGCATCGCGGCAAAGAGAATTACGACAAGTTCACACAAAATTATGAGGTAGTAAAATGTGACAAATGCACCTTGTTCTGGGGTGTCTGTGTCACTTCTTCAACGCTCGAATCTCACTGCTGTCTGAAAAGTGTGTCTAACTCAAATATGGGACCAACTATTTTCTGATAGCCACGTCGTCCTCTCAAGTCTACTTTACACTCTAACGTACAAGTGTCGAAAATACGCTAAATAAAGAGGACGGGTTCGCCAGCCAACCCCTCGTTATCCAGGTCAGGTCCTCTTATGAGCATCGCATTGCAACGCCTTGCAACACCTTCGCGCATACCATATCTTTAGGACGATGACGCCGGCATGCGCCCAAACACGGAGTCTTGCATTGGCACAACATTAGGTATCGATGCAACACGGCGTTGAGTGTCTAAATCCATCCACGTACATACATACGGCAATTCGAAGCTTGGAGTCGAATCTTCTTTTTGTTTTTGAAAAGGCGTCTCCAACGTGCGCCTCGAGGGGTGATTTTAAACGTCGGTTTCGGATAGGAGGAACCACCTCCAGAAATACATGCACCATGTGGCCTGGCTCTCAAAAATTGAACAAACTGGTTCAGACGGGCCGTACGTCGGGCTGACACAATATTCACCCAGATACATGGCGGCAGCGTTGTTCTAATTTCTTGAGATGGAAATGAGACTACTTTGAAATAACAATGGTCAATCAAACACGATTAAACAACACGAAGTCATTTTGATTGTGTCCGGCCAAAACTGAAAAACAAACATGAATATGTCACTTGCCAGCGACTCCAACAAATAAATTCATTCACACACCTAGCAGGAGGGGACACGAGACACAAACCTCAAAAACACCAGACCCGCGTTATTGGCCAGCGACAAGTCTAACCCATTTTTGTCAGTCAACCGGTTGTTAGCGTTGTCGATGCCAATAATAAACACATATCCCCCATGACGCCTCCTCACGGGATCCCAGATTACGGCCTTTAGAATAAGCATTTTATGTTTCAGCCGCCGAGGCTGACGTCTTTTCAATCGCCAGCCGTTTCTGTTTTTGATCCCGAGAATAGCTGAGCCTCCCCCATGCTGCCCCCTCACGGGGTCCCAGTTGTGAATGGCAATTAGAAGTGTTTTGTGTTTTCAACCGCACTGAGACTAACGTATTTTCATTGGCCAGCCGGTTAGCGCGGTCGATGCTAATAATAAAAGCACACACGCACCTTTGGCGGGAAGCAAATTCCCTCCTGCTCGTTTTTCAAACACTTCTGGGCGTGGGTCTGAACCTGCTTGGCGTTGCGGGTACCGACATATACGGAGATGACCTCCCACTTCTTCATGTCGGCCTCCATGTCCTTCATCTCTTCGAGCCCAGTCATAAATCTATCGTGTTCCTCGACGCTCCACCTGCCGACATTACGCGGCCCGCTGAGCCCCGCCGCCAGTCACATGACGGACCATGAATCCCCAACACGACAAAAAGCAATGGCCGCGGCGTCGAAAGAGTGGGACGGTTCAGAGCCAAATGCGGACGTGCAAGAAATTACAGACATAGCGCATGACAAACCAGGGATCACTAATAGTACCGTACGTCCTGGATTTTATTATGCCTAGGTGGGCCTCGCAATGAAGAGGGGGAGAGCTCGGTTGTGTCTCCTGCCCGAGTGCTGTGGTTTCTACCGTGTGTACCAGAATATGGGCTCGCTGACGGGAACCATCGATTCCGGCTCGAGGGTCAATTGCTTGTTTTAGGTCGAAAACCCAGCCTAACTCGTGGTATTTCTAATTTCATATAAAAATGAAGTTTCGCATTTTTTTGTTCGGCCAGATGCTGTTGTTTTTCCTTAATCTTGATATTCGTGTTCTCTGCCGTGCGTCACGCGCTCAGTGCCGTACTCTCTCGCTTTATCATGCCCCTGGTTATTAGACACATTTGCTCGCCATCAAATGCTGCAAGAAAGGCTAAACAACAGAAACTAAAAGACACGCAGCGGCGCTGGCCTCGCTGGCGCCTCAAGGTGCTGTAGCCCCCCCCATGAGCAAGGGTCGAACTCATAGAACCATGCGCCAACATCGCACGACACGCCGCAACGCCGAGGGAATAACGCTTAGGGTTAGGTGAAGTGACCAGGTCCAGTCGAAGACTGAAGCATGATGGGTAGAGGGACTGGAAAAGGAGTGATCGACAGTTTTTTTCATCAAGAGAGAGAGAGAGGGAGAGGAAGGGGCAGTCAAACAGACAGACAGAGAGAGAGAGAGGCAGAGGTAGAAAGTGAGGGGCAAAGAGAGTATCAGAAATTCCGAGCTACGAGGACGCCCAGAAGAAAATGTGTAGAGTCGAGGAAAAAACAGTGATGATTGCAGTCGAAGACTAAACAGCGCATCCATCAGACAGTAGCAAGAGTTGAGGGAGTGGAGGAGTGGTGGGAGGGTGTACTCATGTCGATCGATGCGACACAGACACACAGAGAGAGAGAGAGAGAGAGAGAGAGAGAGAGAGAGAGAGAAAGTCCAGATATTACCGTAGTCGATAAAAGGCAAAAGCTTGTGAGTCGGGTCACGAATCTGACAGCAAGACCACCGCGGTAGGGAACGCAGGGGTGAACGTTGAAAAATCGGAGTATATTTTTTTCTTGTCAGGTCATCGGGGCGTGGCTGATTCCGATGAAGCAAAGGTAGGTTCTCGGGCACCGCGGTAGGTCATCGCCCTGAACGCATTTCTCCAACCACTGCAGCTCTGCCTCCCCGATAGGAACGGGAGGGGCAAACAAGCAGGGGCAAGGTGAGGAAGAAGCAGTAGCAGGCCAAGACGTCGTGGGGCGGTAACAAGCAGGTCCATCCGGCCAGCACTACACACCGCTGGCGGTGCCCGTAGTCAAACTGTCTCCGTTCGAATTCGTTACCTCAATAGTATCTGCGACGCGACGCCGTCATGAATCGTCCACACTCCCCCCGGCAATGGAAAGAAAGATGCTTAGAGTAATTTGGGTTACATAGCTCTTCACCACAAAAAAAATCGCAATGTATGCACAGGATTGCGGCAAACCAATTGTTTGTGTGGAAATTTCCACCACCGGTGCGACCAATGCGATGGTGATCAAGCCGATACGTAGTTTCCAATTCAAAATAATTCCCCCACGGTGAGGTCAACTCCATCGTGGTAGCCTGGGGTGGCGTTGTATCTTGTGCCGCTTTCGGTACGATGGAAACGGCAGGCCAGGGCCTCGTTTGTTAGCGGAAGAGTTACTGACAACCAACCGTGAAGACAACAAACTCTCGAAATTAGTGGCGCATTCGTTCTCACCTCATGAAACTCAACCCAATGCATACGGATGGCCACAGGCACAGATGACGATCCTTTGAGAGTGGCCCATAACCTCGGGGCATTGTATTGGGTCCTTGGAAGACAAGCCTAGCACAACCATCGAGCGATATACGTATGTATGCGTTGTTGGTGTTGTTGTGCCCTCAGAATAAACAACCCGGGTTGGGCCAAAACCTCCGTAACCCGCGATTGCTTATGGTAGGGTCGGTTGTACAAGGTGACGTGCTGCGTTGATTCTTTCGAAGCTGTCAGAATCATGAATCTCTCGTATGCATATAGTACCTTGTGTCCAAGCAAATGGCAAAGATCTGAAACGGGGCCTGGAAGACTCAAGTTTTGGATGACAAAGAAAGAAAGGTCTTATCCATGCCGAGCCTCTCGGTACAGGCAGATCAATGCTCTTCTTCCGAAACAAATGGCGAATTTTCGAAGGCAACAAATTGTTGTAGTTCAATATTTATTTTTGGATCCAATAGTATTGACTGTTAGAATATAGACGAAACGGATTTATTGGCGGTTTTAGGGTACGCAACTTGAGCATTTTCCGTACTACAGGACCCATAAATATGTACTACAACAACAACAGTCGATGTGGATGTAACCTTTAGAAAAGGTCACGTCTCCGCAACGTCTGTCGAGGATGATTTCTTCCTCACATTAATTGACGTTGCGGTGAGACTTATGGTTGTTGGCGACAAAGGCCCCCGGTTTTGCTCGAAACAAAGACGTCTATATACTATTCCATACGAACGAGAGAGGCATGTATGTCCCGTCACGTTTTCAGCTCAAAACTAAAAGTCACGGCCTCGAGCCCATGGGTAATCGTTTCTTTGCATCATGCATGCATGCATATGGATTAATTTGCCACATCTACAGTTCAGTTTATCGTGGCTTGACGTTGGTTGCAAAATCCAAAATAGTAAAGATAAAAAAGTAAAATAATGCATGAGTGAAAATCACACAAATCAGCAGATTGTTCTCCCCAACGACATGAAGTGTTTGATCGAGTCCTTCCGCCTCCATCCACAGCCAGTCCGTGCCGTAAAAAGTCAAGGAGGGGTGGGGGGGCGGTGAGGTGCAGGTTTCCTCCGATCGACATGATGATGACCCCGGCTGGTGCACACGACATTGATTCCGAAGATGGACATACAACATGCAACATACAACATGTAGACCCGTGCCCCAAATAGATTGAATTGGACGAAAACAAGTGCTGCGCATAAACCACCCTACATGTAGTATTTGCCCACCCTCAGAATCGCGCAGTCTTTTTCCGTCAGAGAACTGTGGGAGCATTGTGATCGTTGGTACAACAAGGAACAGGCGATCTTGATCATTGAGAGAAAAACTTTTATTGAGAAAAAACATTGTGGGTCTGCACTTGCAAAATAACAGATACATTTATTGACCAAGGTATGCATACAACGACGGTAGACTATATAAACGGCATCAAGCAGCATTGATTGGTGTTCCAGTACTTCGTACACATAATACGATAACAGCAACAGGTCTATCCCACGTTGGACCCTGCACTATTGTAGAGTCTATCCCACGATCGCTGTTGCTTGAGACTTTTATCTTCACCGGGAGTCAGCACAGACGCGGGATTTGAGGCATGACGAGCATGCGAGCACCAGACCAGACCATAAAAAATACCCCCACTTGCCACACATCCTGCGAGTAGCGGCATATCTACAGCTTCTTCACACATTATGTGCTTGCCAGTTTCGTTCAGGATTGCATTCGACGGTTCGAGGGGACTATCGTGTGCAAATGATACTGAGATTATCTGCGCTGCTTAGTTATGCAAGCCTAAAGTCCGCTGTGGGGCTCGGCCTTGCAGCTGGAGGCTGAGCAGTCCTTCTCTGCATATGTAGCGTCGGTGATTTTCCTGCCGCACACACAGCAGGGCAGTAGTAAATTGCTGCTGCTGCGGCAATCAACCATCATTGGAGATGTGTCGGTCGATTTACTGTAGCACGCCGACGTTTTCCAGAGGCTCTTGTCTACAAGGGAGCTTCAGCCGACAGGAAGAGCGCGCGACACTCACTGTGATTGGTGATAGCGATGCAGATGTTACAAGAAGAGCACCCGGCAGACCCAGGTGCGGTGCCGAAGGCTATGGATGGAGTGTTGGAATTGAGAGTACCGTCTAGGGGACTCGGCATGTGTGCGACTCACACCACAGCAGTTGCACCGCGATAAAGCGCATGACAAAGCGCATGAATGCGACGGAGGTGCCGTACCGAACAAGGCGAGGAGAGGGTCTGGACGGAAGACCACATGGGGTGGCCCGGTATGGAAATACACAGGGAGAGAAAAGCAGATAGTCCGCGAGAAAGGGTAGGCATGTCAGGCGATGGACTGGCACATACAGAATTTCAAACACCGTTGGAGGAGCAAAGAGTTCCGACGCGCGGATCCGCGCAGAGAAAATAGGCGCTATCAAATTCGTCTGAAAGGGTTAGGGTTAAGGTTAGGGTTGGTCTTTTTCGCATCCATATGAAGCGCCAACAAACGTCCACCCAGACTCCGCACGACATGTCCGATACCACCTCTGTAGCATCTATCATTTCTTCCCTGGGGGGGGGCGTAATCATTTGTTGCTTGCCGTAGTCATTTGACCATTGACCACGCGTCCCTTTCGAGACGGAGCACCGTTCCTACCCCTAATAGAGACACCACCAACATTTGGGAGCTCTGTACGTTTCTGCCACAAACTCCATAAAAATTTCTTGCACATCTTATCCCCGTCCTCTAGGGCCTCTTATGCCCACCATCTATCCCCAATTATCGCGATCGTTTTTTCGCTGTTGTCTAATTTGCCAAACTTGTCCATGTCACACCCCCTCTGTCTCATTTCCTCCTCGAGATCCTCTCTTTCCTTCCTGTACAACTCACACTCCCAAACTATGTGGGGTCTACTCTCCTCCGATTTGCCACATGGACATGTGTGTCTATCCTCCTCTTCCTCTCTCCTGCGGCTGGTATACCTCTTCCTCCGTTCTGGCAAGTCCAGATCGCCTACTCGAAAGTGCAATTTCAGCTTTTTCG